AGGTGGTTACATAGCAGACAGTGTTGATCACAGATAGTGATGTATCCTCTTCTCAGTGGACTCGGTGAGCCCCATTTCATTCCGGGGTCATGTATTGTACCTTTTGTTTATATTATGGTCACTTTTTGAGGTATAGCCGGGGCCTTGTTTCCGGTACCATCTTTACTCTCTTTTGTATCTTTAGAGGCTCTGTAGACACTACATGGGTTGTATATGGGTGCTAGAAAGGCCAAACGGATTATGCTATATTTTGGAATTCGTTCCACTAAATCACAAAATGTATGTATTTTGAAACTCAACATAGAAGTAGCAAAAAAATGAAATAGTTTAGTAATGTCTATATATGGTCCTCCCACTGTTTAGCCAATAAAAACATGCCTTCCCTTATCATGGGTGAGTTGGGTAGAGAGTATCTAACAGGCTTGCTCGGCCGGGTTCATTCGGTTGAGCACCGGTCGCGCTTCCCGAGTTTTGGGCGTGACAAGGCCCTACTTCAAATGCTACCTGATAGCTATGGTGACTACTTTCCCTATGAGGAATATCCTCCATAAACCCGAGCTCTTGAGCAGATTGGCCAAATAGGCCGTCAAAATGAGTGAATTCGATATAGAGTATAAACTGAGGATTGCAATTAAGTCGCAAGTCTTGGCTGACTTCGTGGCCGATTTCAGTTCGGGACTATTGCCTCTAGCAGCCAAGGAGGCAATAATGGTGTCAGAATCGACATCGGGAGTTTGGACCGTATTTACGAACGGAGCTTCAAAAGTAAAAGGGCCCGGGCTTGGAATAGTCTTGATCACGCCTTCGGGAGAAACCTTAAGGTAAGCCATCAGAACGATTCATTTAACTAACAATGAAGCAGAGTACAAAGCTTTGATTGCAGGGCTCGAATTGGCCAGGGACTTGACTCTGAAATCATCAAAATCAAATGTGATTCACATTTGGTGGTGAATCAGGTCTACAAAATGTTCGACACCAAAGAAGAACGTATGCAGCAATACATGGTAAAAGTTCAGGCTTTATTGGCATGATTTTGAGAGTGGTCAATTACTCATATCCCGAGGGAAGATAAAGCGGAAGCAGATGCATTGGAAAATTTGGGCTCATCGACAGAAGTCCAGGGATCAGAATCAGGAACAGTAGTGCAACTGATGAACTCAGTCTTGGACACAGACGATTACTATGAGGTGAATTCGACTAGTTTGGTCTAGGACTGGAGAAATGAAATAATCAATTATCTCGAGCATGGAAAGTTGCCCGAAGACCCCAAAGCATCAAGAGCGTTACGCGCCAAAGCTGCACATTATAGCTTCAAGAAAGGCCAATTGTACAGAAAATTCTTTCAAGACCCATTGGCCCCATGCTTAGGAGCATCAGAAGCTAACTATGTCATGAGAGACGTCCACGAATGGATATGCGGCGACCACTCAGGTGCAGATTCTTTGGTGCTGAAATTAGTTCAGGCAGGATATTACTGGCCCCGTATGGATCAAGATGCCAAAGACTTCGTACGAAAATATGATAAGTGCCAACGCTACGCACCACTAGTACATTAATCGGCAGAACCCCTACATTCGGTTATGTCCCCGTAGCCGTTCATGAAGTGGGGAATGGACATCGTTGAACCGCTTCCAACGACTCCTGGAAAAGTAAGGTTTCTTTTAATTTTGACTGACTATTTTTCTAAATGGGTGGAAGCAGGTCTTATCAGAAGATCGGAGCACGCGAAGTGGTCGACTTCCTATGGGAAAATATAATTTGTAGGTTTGGGATACCGAAAGAGATTGCATGCGACAATGGACCGCAGTTTATCGGTGCAAAAGTTACAAAGTTCCTTAAAGATTTGAAGATAAAGAGTATTACCTCTTCACCTTATCATCCGAGCGCAAATGGTCAAGCAGAATCAACAAACAAAGTGATTATACATAATCTAAAGAAAAGGCTGGAAGCAGCAAAAGGAAATTGGCCCGAAGAATTAGCTGGGGTTTTATGGGCCTACCGAACAACGACCAAGTCAAGCATGGGAGAAACCCCTTTTTCCCTTGTGTACGGCATAGAAGCTTTGATACCGATGGAAGTAGGGGAACCAACCTTAAGGTATTTCAAGGAAGACAAAGAATCAAACAACAAAGCAATGTTAATCAACTTGGAGCTGCTCGAGGAACACATGGACTTGGCGTATTTCAGAATGGCGGCTCAAAAGCAAAGAATTTAGCGATATTATAATCAAAGTGCCAACCTCCGTTATTGCAAAGTAGGAGACTTGGTCTTGAGGAAGGTAACTCAAAAAACCCGGAAACTCAACGGGGGCAAGTTAGGCCCAACATGGAAAGGCCCTTACCGGATTTCAGCTATCATTGGGAAATGATCATACGAGTTGGAGAACCAGAATAGAGATAAGTTGCCCAACAACTGGAACGTGGCTCACCTCGAAAGATATTACTGGTGACAAACAACAGTCAAAGGGAAAGTATGTGCTTCACTCTTTTTCCCTTCGTTCAATTTTTGTCCCAATTGGGTTTTTCTGGCAAGGTTTTTAATGAGGCAGCAAAAGAAAGCATACTACGAAGACAACAGTGATAAGACTTTTCATAACAAGGCAAACGAACAAGTTTCCACTCAGGGACGATTAGATAATCTTTGCTTTGATAGCAAATTCCCACCGGGAAGTTCTGTTTGCTACCGAATGAAGGTTACCCGACCGTTCATGAGCACAAACCACTAGAGGACTATTAGGTATTCTTTCGCTCGATAGCATGGGTTCCTAAGGGGAAACAAGATATGTTGCCGAGTGAAGTATTACCTAGCAATTCATTGGTGGAATCTTTTGAAGATACAAGACTTTCGGTGTTCCAATTCGCGTTCTTCGCATTCAAACACTGGGGGAATGATATAAGATTACGACAACACTGAATGCCAGGCAACACTGAATGCCACATCACCTGAGGAACGAAAATCAGGAATAGAATACATTATCGGGACCGGGGACTACATAGCCAGTCCCATAGAAACAAGTTATACAAGATAGCCACAAGTCATGGCCATTTCTTTTCTGTATAGCAAAATGCTTATATACTTTTGAAAATACAAGGAATTAAATGAAATGAAATCCTTTTGTTTTTGTCTTGTTTCTTGTCTGAACGATGAGTTAATTTTGCCATTTGAAAGTTAAACAAGTACTTCAAATGTTAGTGCCGTAATGAACATGAGACGTGCTCTTCAAGATCACCGTAAACATAATAGGGCCCTCTCTTATAAAAACACTCACGTTAAAGGGTTGGTTTTGGAAGAATCGATGCCCGAAAGCTGGAATGCCATCGGGGAAAAATACACCCCAAGCTGCATACGAAAAAGACGCAAAAAGTAAACTTGCACAAATACTCATGGAAAGCCTCACGAAAAAGGGATAATACTCATAACCAAAATGCTTCGAAGAAAAAGCATCTGAGATTACACATAATAAAGCGCGAACAGAACAACATGCGCAGAATACATGAGCAAGTACGAAAGTTAAAGACTTACATAGATATTCAAACGAAAGTAAGACTCAAACGATACTTGAGCAAAAAATATGTTTTTATTTACAAGGGCGTGTCAAAATGATAAAGGTGCAAAATAGATAAAGAAAGAAAAAGCTAAACTGTAGTGTCTCTAGAATAAGGAGGAAGAGAAGTATCCGCATCCCTGGGAGTAGTAGATGGTTCCACCAATGGCTCACAACTTTCCCCAGCTGTGTCTTCGGCATCATCGCCTTCCGATCCTTTTTCAGTTTCAGAAAACTCGGAACCAGAATCAGAAGAACCTGGAGCGTCAGACTGCACTGTGAGTCCATTTTTTGTAGCCAACTCAAGCTCTCGGGCCTTAGCAATTTTGGTATCAATGTCAATGATACCAGTCTTGGCTTATTCCAAGGTTTTTCTCCTCATGCTATACATGGAATAAGTTTTTTCAACAATGAGAAAAGCCACTCGGTGCTTGAGTTCTTCTTTGAGTTGAATAGTTTCGATGGAAAGGTTTTTCCGTACAGACCTAGCATATTTGAGACTGACATCGAGCTCACAGATAGTTGATCTAAAGACCTATTATGCTCGATAATTTTCATGTACTTCTCTTCTAGTTGGGCATGTTTCACCACCACAGCAGCAAGCTCGCATTGCTGCAAACTGGCCTCCAAAATAATGGCCTCGGTAGCATTGGTTTCCAATTTCGAGAGGTGGAGAACAGTCTGGTCCCGTTCCGCCAAAAGCTGATCCCGTTCAGAAGTAAGTTCTTCCTTATCATGAATCATCCTTTTAATACCCTTAGAAGCAACAAAGTTGGCCTACAAAATAAGAAGAGGTAAAACTTAGAGTACATTTGTTCAAAAGTATAAGAAATAACAGAAGAAGAAAGGAACGTACCGCTGCAACGTTATGCATAGCATTGTTCAACAAACACTCCCCCGAGAGTGTCTGAATCTTCTCCCAGTCTATTTCTGAAGCCAAAGGCTTCAGATAGTTAGCAAGCTCCACCAGCCTCGAAAGCAAGTTGCACCCGGTGGAGACCGAAAGGGTAACACTCCTCCTCCTTTGTGGATCTTCAGAAGAGGCAGCATAATTTTTCCCCAAATTCCCATGAACTGGGGACTGTGGAGGAGGGACATATTCTTCATGATCAGGTGCGACCAATGGAGATGATGTAACAACCTTTGTTGGAAGAGTGGATGGAGATAGAAATGATGTAGCAGTTGCTGGTGGTGGTGAAAGAGGAGATGAAGTTGATGGAGTTGAAGAGTGAGAAGCAGTTGCATCAAATGCACTTTTTGTTGTTTGATGCTCTCCAACCAAAGACGGCACGGACCCGATACTCACCCACATGAGGGTCTAGAATTCACTTAAAATCGGTATTTTACGCGATTCACTTTTGATGAATTGTAGTTCATAGCTTATGTTTATTTATCCTTATTTTGTAGTCTTTACAGCTTTTCCAACCGCTATTTTTAATGAGATGCTCGAATTCCAATGATTTTTGGTGACAATTATACTGAATGGAAGGAGAAAGTCCTTCTCACTTTAGGGTTCTCGGATCTGGACCTGGAACTCCGTGTGGATGAACCATCTATTCCCACGGAATCATGTACGCCAGCAGCTAATGTTGATTATGAGCGGTGGAAGAATTTAATACTCATTAAAGCCCATATAAGCCAAAGCATTAGGGGTTCTATCCCTAATAGAAATAAGTTCAAAGCTTACATTAAGGTAATTGATGAACAATTTATAAGCTCTAACAAGGCATTAACCAGCACCCTTATGAAGAGGCTCTCAAGTATGACTTTTGACAGAAGTCGTACAGTGCGTGAGCACATTATGGACATGAGAGACAATGCTGCTAAACTCAACTCTCTTAAGGTTGATATGTCTGAACCATTTCTTGTGCATTTCATTCTCATCTCTCTTCCTGTGGAATATGGTCCGTTCAATATTTATTACAACACACACAAAGATAAATGGTCAATCAATAAACTCTTGACTATGTGTGTTCAAGAAGAAAAGAGGTTGAAGCATGGGACACCTGAAAGTGTTAATTTGGTGACTCTTGGTAAGAGAAATGCAAAGAAGGACAAAAGTGTTCCCACGAAGAAAAAAAGCACTTTTGACAAAGATGCTTGTCGTTTCTGTAAGAAGAAGGGACACTGGAAGAAGGATTTGAAATACAAGAAATGGCTTGAGAAGAAACGTGATCACGCCCAACTAAAGTCCTAAAAAGGATAAGCGGTCGCTGCAAATATAATATGGTCTAAGAGTCCGGAGTCGAATCTCACATAGAACTAATGTTTAGCTACAACCATTTACTATCACACTGAAGACTAGCTCGAACAATTCCTAAGTTAGAAATATTAAGATTCTTATATTTAACTAATAAACTAACAAATTAGAGTAATAAATTAATAACTAAAGATACTAAAGGTTGGAGACAAGATTAAGGAGGTCTAGAGTTATGATTTTCCCAATTATCGGAATCCTTCTCGCTATGTCTTCTATAATTTTGCCTAATTATTCTCTACCAATCGTGAGTACTTTGGTTGTCGTAATTTTTTCTTGAGAAACTACCACAATTTACTAGATATATTCTCTCGAACTACACTAGCTGGTACTACTTCACCGCTCAATATGATCGCACCAAGGTTTCGTATCTCTAATTCAGCCTTTAAACCCTTAATATTTATCTCTCACATACGTTAGGAGTGATGTTGTTCAATAACTACCTAAATGTGTACCCTCTCTCAAGCAATACACACTAAATAGGCACATTCAATTGATGGCCATTTAATCAACAACAACAAACACGTAGTTGAACAAGTCGAGAAATCTAACGGTTCAATTATATAGAAACATAACAAGAATTCATCCTCCAAAAGGTTCTATCAAAACCCTAGATAAAAAATTAGTTACTCATAATAGTATGCAAAACTACAATACTAGAATCATAACCAATAATGAAAATAGAGGAAGAAAGAGGGAAAAACGTGAAGTTGAATCCTTCTCCTTCTTGCATCTAGCTTGTTCTTGCCTCCCCAAAGTCTTCTCTCCTTCCAAAGTAGTGTCTCTCTCTCAAAAACATGTTTTAGGATGTATTTATAGCGACTAGGATTTGTATGGGGTGAATTTTTCTTCTCCTAATTCGGATTGGAAAAGCTAATTTTTTCTGCTCCGGTCCCCGGTCTGACGAAGTGAACCTCACTTCGCGGTCCGAGACTTTTCTCTTCAGCTTTTTTTTTTTCTCCAATTTTTCTCCTAGTTGTTCATTTCCGCATAAGTTTTTTTCTATACATAATAAACACGTAATGAGCATATTTTTACTCCAAAAGCGATGTGAAATTCCACAACTCATACAAGAATTAACACATAAACACACTCAAAACATGCACTTTTCATCCTTTATCACCACCCCACACTTAAACTCTTGCTTGTCCTCGAGCAACTCTAAATTAAGTGCATAGGCTAGAAACACATTTCAAAATATATTCAAGCATCACACCAATGACAGTGGTTTATATCAACGCTTAGAACCCAATATATGCACTCTTCATACATTTCTTCAAGTTTTAAACTCATGCCAAGATTATTTAAAATATTCATGTGAATCTTTCTAACATTCTCGCCTCAAAACTTGACTCCAATGCGTTCCACACTATGACTCACTCCTCGTGCCAACTCAAAAATCAAGGTCTCTACCAATCCTTTGCAAATCATGTGCCCTCGCCAACAAACCATAGAGAAAGTAGTCCACACGCCAAATATAAGTTCAAGTATATTTTAAGGGCTCTCAAATTGGAAGAATTTGCTCAATCTCACAAAAAGCTCTTATGCCACCCAGGTTCGTACCATGGGCTTGCCCGTAGTGTAAGTCTATACTATTTAAGCTCGCAAAGTCTAGGATCAGGTAGGACTTTATAAGTTGTAATGTAGGCTAAGGGACGGGTAGGATATATTTGTGAAAGTAGTGACTAACCCTCCTAAGTACTTTAATACACTATACTGCACTTTTAAGCACCTTCTTGTCATGACCAATTCGATGTCATGCCATGAAACCATGCACATTTAAGCCTTTCTTCATTAAGAACATCAACATATAGATATTTAATAGCCCAAAAAAGATATGAGAGGTGTTATTTTTTTTTTCTTCAGTTATTTTTTTTTTTCACTCTCCTTAATTTGGTATTTTCGGCTAGTACTTTTTTTTACTTGTACACAAGTGCACCTTTTCGGCCATTTTATGGTTCCACTCAAAAGCTACCCAATCTCTTTCTTTACTCTTCTAGCTACTTAAGTGATTTTAGATGCAAAGGTTCAACAAGATTGATTGAGAACAAAAGGGATTCGACTTGTAATGTGGTTGCCAAAGAAAACGTCTACAGGCTCAAAAGGGGTGACTCTGGATAATATTAGCACAGGTAGGCAAATAGGTTAAATGGTCAACCAAAGAAGCCTATATCACTTCCCAAACTTACAAGGCTTAATCATTTTGCTTTGACTCACACACGGGGCAAATTCTAGACTAGCAAGGATGGCACAAAGTACACCAAAATCTCACCTCATACAATACACATGACTCACTCAGGACGGCTCAGACTCGACTCTCGAGTTAATGTCATGACCTAATTCTCTTATGAGCCATGATGGCGCCCAACGTTACCACTAGTCAAGCCAAATAGTGAATTAGACAGATTATTCCTCTTTTAATAATCTTCCGAGTAAATAAATTTTCCTTACTTAAAAGATTTAAGAAATAACAGGTTTAAGTACATAAAACGAGAGCAGGTGAGTGTAGTCATAACCATAGTAATACTCCAAAATCACAAGTCTACTGGTGTGTGCCAAGACCTGGTGTCACAAATGTATGAGCACTAATGGATTATACAAAACTTTAGCTATTGTCTGAAATAGAAATAGACAGAAATGAATATAAAGAAGAGACAATAGGTGATGCATAACGGCTCAGAAATGCAGCTCACCACTAGGCCTTCGGGTAAATTCATGCCTTCTATAACTGTTACTTCACAAGTCACATAATAAAATCAAGTATGATTAGGCTCCGAGTATTAATAAGCACGATTTATGCCGACGTCGTACGGCCCGATCTAAAATAACGTGTACACTGCCGAGGGACGTGCGGCATGATCCATAGATACATCTATATACTGCCGAGGCGTTCGGCCCGTTCCACAAGAAGAGAAAGATACTTTATAAGCATTTTCCTTACACATTTTTAATGATTAATACACAAAATAATACAAATTTCATTAAAGACCTTTCACAATTTCCTCTAGCAAGTTCTAATATAATTTTTGGCACTTTAATTAACAAGTAGGGTGCAAACATTTCAAGTAGTTCATGATATGGGTCCTAAAACTACCCGGACATAAGCATAATTAGTAAGTACGCATGGACTCTCGTCACCTCGTACGTACGTAGCCCCCACAATTAGAAGAAAGCATTAATTTAAATCACTTATGGAGTAAATTTCCTCTTGCAAGGTTAGACAAGAGACTTACCTCATCTCAAAGCCCACATTCCGATCACAATTTTGCTCTAAAGCCCCAACTCGGTGCCGGTCAATCCGAAACTAGTCAAATATTATATAATTTAATCAATACATGCTCAAAAATTTGTAATTTAACTATTAGATTATTTACCTAACCTAAATTGGAAGAATTCCTAAAATTCACCCCGGGCACACGTGCCCGGATTCCGGATATTTCTTACCTATAACCTCAAGAACTCAAGAATACAATTTTCATCCTATTCCATAACCATTTTCGTGGTTGAAATCGTATTTTTATCAAAACTTAGGTTTTTCATCTAACCCATGATTTTTCACAATTTACATGTTAAAATCTACCCATAGTCTATGTATTTATCTCACAATAGGTAGAATTAACTTACCTCCAAGTTGCTAGGTGTATACCCCTCTAAAGAAGCTCCAAGATCGCCAAAGGATGCAGAAAATAGGTTCAAAAATGGTTGAGCCCCATTTTTAAAACATTCTGCCTAGCGCAGCAGCCCTCTTCTTCACGAACGCGCTAAGGGCCTCGCGTTCATGAAGGCAAAATTTCCCAGGCCCAGAAAATTCCCTTCGCGAACGTGGCAGAGGCCTCGCAAACGCGAAGGCTTGCTTGGCCTACCCTACGCGAACGCGAAGGCTCCTACGCGAACGTGAAGGTTAATATGTACTGACCTTACGAGGCCCTTTTCTTCTACGCGAACACGAGAAGGCCTTCGCGAACGCGTAGGCCTGGGATCTCAATGCTTCGCGGATGCGACCTCTTTCCCGCGAACGCAAAGAACAACCATCCAGCTTCCCAAATCTTTCATTGCGAATGCGAGGGTACCTTCCGTATTTGCGAAGAAGGAAACCAGAACTGGAAATTCTAGTTTTTCCAACTTAGCTATGGGTGGTTCAAAACACACCCGAGCCACTCGGGACCCTCACCAAATACACCTACAAGTCCATAATCATAATACAGACCTACTCAAACTCTCGAAACACGTAATATAATGATGAAACTAAGACTCGCACCCCAAAACCAAATTGAACCATATTATGAACTCGAAGTTCCCATTTTGCTCCGAACACGCCGAATCACACTTAAACTACTCGGAATGGCACCAAATTTTGCGTGCAAGTCTTAAATCAAATAGAAACTCTTACTAGGCTCGGAATCCCAAACGGACCTCGATAACACAAAAACCTACTCCAAACCAAATTTAAAGAACTCTAAAACCTTCAATAAGTCAACTTTCACTATTAATCGTCGAAACGCTCCCGGGTCACCCCAAAACCCAATCCGAACGTACGCCCAAGTCCAAAATTATCATAGAACCTATTGGAATCGTCGAATCCTGGTTCCAAGGTCGTTTACAAAAAATGTTGACCAAGGTCAAACTTAGCATTTTTAGCCAACCTTAAGGAACCAAGTGTTTCGATTTCAACCTGAAACCTTCCAAACCCCAAACTAACCGTCCCTGCAAGTCATAAAACTGTTAAACCACATACGTGGAGTCTTATTTAAGGGAATAGGGTGTCAGAAAGCAAAACGACCAGTTGGGTCGTTACATTCTCCACCTCTTAAACAAACGTTTGTCCTTGAACGAGTCTATAATCATACCTGGAGTGCTGAATAGGTTTGGATATTTTCTCCTTATGTTCTCCTCGGCCTCCCAAGTCGCCTCCTCGATCGGTTGGCTCCTTCACTGAACCT